GGCCAACCTTTTTCTTGGGGGGCGGGGTGGGGGGTGGTTGTGATTGAATGCTGAGATAAGTTAACAATACTTAGCCCACTGCACCACTAGGGTTCCCTGTAAGACTAATGAAAATCAGACGGACAAAAAGCAAACAAACACTACTATAGTGACCCTATTCAGGGATTCCCGGACTACAATTCTGTATGGGAACAGACAGCCTCGTCTTCCCCTCCCTCCACCTAAGATTGGAAGTAGCCTGGGAATGGACCACGAGCAGAATCCGATTCCTTTATGGGATGCCACAGATGCAAGCCCATGGCTGTCACCCTCCCTAAGCCATGTGAACTTCAGTTTCTTCATGTATAAGGTATCACCCTCCCTAAGCCATGTGAACTTCAGTTTCTTCATGTACAAGATAAGGGTGAAAGCACCTAGGTACTTGGCGGTGGACAGTTATATCATCCACTTTGCATGGCTTGGGAGAAAGATGAGGCTGTCTGCTCCCGTGAAGATGTAAAGTCTCAGGTCTCTATGAGTTGACGTTGACTCGATGGCAGTGAGTAATCTGTGTAAAGAAGTTAGTTGCTACAGTGCCGAAAACATAGCCAGCACTCAGATTGTTTTTGCTGGTAGTCGTAGTACTAGTTGTCGTGGTGGAAACACTCACAGAACCTCCCGAGGGACTGTATGGCTTCTTCGCCAAAAGAAGTATGGCCCAGTGGACCCAGGCCATGTGTGTTAGTCTGGGTAGACTAGAGAAACAAATTCACAGACACGCATATGTATATAAGGGAGAGGTTTATATACAAGAGGATTTGAACAATGAAAACACATCCCAGCCCACTCCAGTCCAAGGCCATAAGTCTGATATTAGCCCATATGTCTGACACCAGTCTATAAAGTCCTCTTCAGACTCACAAAACACATACAATGAAGCCAAATGCAGGATGATCACAAGCCAGTGGGTAGAAAAATCTTTGGGTCTAGTGCCGTTGTAAGCATCTCAGTGCTGGCAGGGGTCTCTCTGTGGCTTCTCTGCTTTCCAAAGTCTGGTTGCGTGTCTTCTGCAATGTCTCCCAGGGAGTGGCAGAGAGAGAGAGGTGTCTTCCACCTCCAAGGAGGAAGTACCATATTTCCAAGAATTCTCGGGAGAAGGCCATGCCCACAGAAGTCTCATTGGCTATCTCCAGATTGACAGCCTAGACTCCACCCCTACACTCTTAATCCTTAAATTGATTGGGTGACTACCATGCCATATTTCAGCCAAATCCCACTTTCCCCTGGTGCCATTACCTGCTGTACATACAGGAGACCATTCTGAACTCCAGACCACACCCCAAGTCACACAGCTCTGTGAATTCCTAAAAACCATTGTGCACGTGAAATAGGTGAATTGTACAGCATGTGGATTGCACCTTGATAAAACCATAACGAAAAAGAAATGGTTTCCTGTGCGTTTCCAAGTGAAGAAATGGACTAGGCTGAACATCTGCGGAGTTTTCAGGACTGAAATAATCACCACAGTCTTCGTTTTGTGCTTGCTTTTACAGAAAGAGGTGTCGTGGATGATGGATGCCTTCAGTCGGCATTTGGTTGAGCTCTTGCTCAGTAATTCTCCCTCCTCATCATTTAGACACAGCTTGTAAGCATGTGAAGTTCATTTGTGGAAACATAGCTGTCTGTTCTGGGTGGTTCGCAAAGACCCCAGGAGAAATCAAGTCATGTGGCAAAAAGGTTTCACGTGACCTTCCTATAATCGCTATCCCGTGTGTACCGGAAGCAGTCCCTTTAAACATAGCTCGGACAGAGAGAGCTAACAGAAGTCAGTTGAATTGTTTTCTCTTAAATGAAGGGGAGCCTAGGGCTCTGGAGTGTTCACAAAACCTGAAGGGAGAGCGAAGGTTAGAAGCAAGTCCTTCCACTGTGGGAACTGGACCAGCATTCAGCTACCTCCCTATCTGAAGGGCCAGGCATTTCTGCACTTAACTCCTAGAAAATACAACAGGGCTTCAAGAAGTTCTTGCAAAAATGGAATTAAAAGATACTGGAATTTTCCATGGGTCTTTATTTTAGATGCCCCCTTTCTACAGGTTATGATTGTGGTAAATAAAACTTGTTTTTTTATCAGTCAAATATAGTTTTGACCTTGAAGATTTGTATACGTTCTAACTCAGATAACTGGGGATGTAGCACTAAAACATTTACTCTAAACATTCATCAGTTGCCATCAAGTGGATTGTGGTTTATGGCGACCCCAGATGTCACCAGACTTCTGAGTCACAAGGGTTTCCTTGATGGATGGTTCAGAAGTAGATCACTAGGTACCGCAGGGTGGTCTCGAACTATGAAACTTTCCATTAGCCGCTGAGCGTCTGAAGGGCTGTCTGCACCAATCAGGGACTCTGTGCTTAAGCTTACATGATCTTAATGCACCTGTGTGAGTCCTGGGCTACATTTTTCGGTGACAAGCCCAAACCTGACTCACACAGTCTCACAGCAAGGCCACCTTATAACAAATAATTTGCTTAATTGCTGTGGGAAGTTTATTGCTTTGCTTGTCAATAAAAAAGTCTCCTTAAGTATTTCAT